CCCAAGCCAGCCGGGCCATGCTGGCCTCCTGCTGCTCTCCCCATCCATGGACCTCGGTGTGAGAAGCCCATCAGCCCCTCTCTTGGGCTCCAGAGCCCACTTTCCCCACCCGCACTGAGAAAGGAGGGATCTGATTCACTCCACAGAGTTCAGATCTCAGAGTGGAGAGCGAGCACCCGCTGGGCCTCGCACCACACCGGCTGCCATGGACAGCTCACAACACCAGTGGCTCTCGGCCGGGGCTCCTTCAAGACCAGCACACCAGAGCTGATCCTCCTGATAAATCAGTTACAGACCTTCAGCACTTCAATTCTTCAAACCTCTTGGACTTGGAAAAGAAGGGCCGGGCCGATTCCCTTTCTCTACCCAACAGCCAGTTCCCAACTCAATTCCCTACGTGACCTTGGCAAGTTTTCATCCTGAGCCTCAACTTCCCTCCTGTCCAATCGTCAGCCCTTGGAATCTCACCAGGGTTCCCGGCCCGCGGGAGCTCCCCGGGAAGGAGCGTGGCTGTCTGCAGAGCTGCGGAGGCTCCTTCCTGGGCCACGCTCTGCCTGGCTCTCAGGGGCCTTTCATGCGGGGGGCTAGGTCACGGGGCCCTGAAGTTTTGACCTGATGGCTAGTTCCGGTTGGCCTGTGGGCATCTGGGGGACCCTCTGCATGTGCTGCCTCATTTCATGCACATGGTGCTTTCTCTCCTGGAGGCTGCTGCAGGAGCAAACTCACCTGTGGACCACCTGCCTCGCCGGAGCCTGAGGACGCCAGCCCGGGTCACAGCCCGCGCCACACCAACATAAAGCCAATCCTCGGCTGACCCTCAGCTGACCCTCCCCCTCTCCCTGCTGGCCGCCTTCACCATGAGGTCGGGGTGGCACAGCCACCTCGTGTCCCTCATCTTCGTGGGCCCAGTGCCTGGCCACACTGAGAACTGGCGGGTCCCAGGGGCCTGCTCTACCTTCTGTCCTCTCCTGACCCCACCCACCCCAGCACCTGCTGAGCACGGGGACTGGCCCTGAAGCGCTCCAGGGGCTGAGTCGGGCAGGATTTTACGAGCGAGAAGGGGTTGAGCACTGGCTCAAATGCGCCATC